CTTGATAACAAATGCACTCACAATAAAGCTGGCCTTGTTTTGATTTGAGCCTCGCCGATTCTAACTTCATTTTATTTATAGCAGTAAAATTCCTTTTTCCATCATTGCATACAAAAGCGACTAGATATAATCCACTGTCAATTATAATTTTAGCAATATCCTTAATCCATTCGATGAGTTGATCAGTTTTTGTCGTACCATCACAAAAGTAATATGCTAGTGGAAACTTCCATCCGCTTTGTACGCCACGTACCATGAAGATTAACGCATGATCAGCGAATCGTGCTCTCCTCTTGTTGCCAAAATCTTCGAAACCGAGAATATGCTTTTTCTTCGTATCGTAATCCACGTGAGGTTGCAATAGCATTTCATCCCACATTAAAAGACACACTTTCTCTTTTTCCTTCATTAATTCTACTTGTTTCTTTAAATGCCAATTTATAAACTTAATTGGACCTGGGTGAATGTTAACCTTCTGATATATAGAACATAATGTTTGCATGCTGGGCAAGTTGAAAACTAGTGTCAGATATTGATAACATTTACTAGATTGCTTCATGATAGATAAGGCTGCGATCTTTTCATCTAATGTAAAACGTCTTTCCTAAAAAAATAACAGGTAAAATTAAATCATAAATTAATTTTTTTATAATATATATATATAATGCAACTTAATATTTTATTTACATGCCTTGGGGGTGTACTTTGTTGTTTTTATTTGCATTTGAAGGAATGTTTGTTGAACAGGTGTTAACGAGGATAATAACTTTTCTATGGCAGCACTTTTACTGTATTGTTTGGCTTGCCTTATACGTTCACGAAAAGACAACTGTCTTTTAACTACAACTTCCTGTTTTTTCTTTAATATGCATGATAGCTTATACAACTTCCATATTTTCGGTGTAAACTTGTGAAAGTGCTTTTCTTGCAATAAAGTATATAGATCTGAAAAGCTGTGCATTGAATTCTTCGACAAAGGAGAATCTAATTTTAAAGGATTTATATCTACTGGGCTATTCTGTGATATTTTTACTGAAGTATTCTGTGATATTTCTATTGGGATATTCTGTGACATTTCTATTGAAGTATTCTGTGATATTTCTATTGGGATATTTTGTGACACTTCTATTGGGATACTCTGTGATACTTCTGCTGTGAACTGTTTCTCTTCTATGAGCTCTATTATTTGAATTTCTTCAATTTGAGTTGAATTTGTATCCATTAGCTCATTTTTTATCTCTTTTGTATTTATAGTTATAATCGTCTCGGAATTATTGTTATCCTTCTCAGAATTATTGTTATCTGTCCCGTTGCCATTATTATTACTCGCCTCATTGTTGTCATTACCATTATCTGGCAGATATAAAGTTGGTATGACACCAGGTTTCAATCTCCGTAATCTGTACATTGCCTCATAGTCACTGTCAGCAAAATGTTTGTAGCACACAACACACTTTCTTAATTGTTCATCGGTCAGATCTCGTATTTTTTCCGAATAAATAGCCTTCTTCCATTTATTCATCATAATCGCGTCTTTGGGAAACATATGAGAGGGTAAACTTACCCCCGTGGTACATCCCAAAACACAGCAATGTCTACCCATAACCTAAAATGATAAACATGTTTATCACTTTATAAAATCGTACATTATTTATATTATTATACTTACTATAGCTGTAACAGCTTCTATAAAATAGCAAAACAAATTTAAATAAAACAATGTCTTATTTATTTTAAACCAGGGAAAACCTTAACACTCACAATTAGTTGAGAGAAATTAAATAGGTTAGAATTTTAGGATAGAAACTGTATTGACAACTTAATTAATTCTTTTTCGCAAGATATTGGATAATAAGAAAAGATGAACATGCAGCTTCTCTTTATACATTATTATTATATATTTTTTGAAACTGGCTTATATACATACATATACAATATTGCAATTTGTTCATTTGCCAGCACTTCCTACACTTAGCATTTTTTTTCCTTTTTCTCCAACGCTTTGATATATATTCATCTTATTTTAAGTACAAAAAATACTAGAAAGTGCAAGTAACGCGACAAACTTGGCGGATTATGTGCTTGTAGGGTTTTAAATATCTGAAATTTTAATCATAACGGCTGCATCACTGTAGATAGCAAATGCACCAAAATGCACGTGTAGTTTTTCGAGTCGCTTCTTCCTTCGTGATCATAGAGTTGCCTTTTGATTTAATCTCATCGTTTATTATTTTTATTTTTATAATGACGAAGAAAATGTTAAAGAGAAAGCAAAGAGAAAATGTGGAGGAAGAAGAGAAAGAAGAAAAGCCAAAAATGAAGAGAACATCAGACGAACCTGCCGTTAAAAAGGTTTATAAATGATTTAACCTGTACATTGTGTAAATTGTGAAAAGCTGATTTAAAATGTTTCATTTTATGAAATATATTATAATAATATATAATTAATAGTTTTTGACAATAGTTTTTGACAAATATATGTAACAAAATTAAAGCATTGAAATGTTAATGATTATATCAAAGTCTTTTTTTTATAGAACATTTTTATGAAAATTTATTAAATTGTCGTGGAGAAGCAAATTAATTTTTATAATTAATTCTTTCTTATTTTCTATAACCTTTCCTGTTATCACTTATAGATTTGTTTATCAATTAAAAGAATATTTGAAAAAGATAATTTTCTATTTAGGTGAAATGGATCAATAGACAGCGAGTGTTGGTGTTTGCCACCCGAGGTATTAATCACAGACATCGTCATCTCATGGAGGACTTAAAAATGTTGATGCCACATCACCGTCCAGAATGCAAAATGGAACGCTCTAAAAATTTACGAGTAGTGAATGAGATATGTGAGATGAAGAATTGTAATAAAGCTATTCTATTTGAAGGTCGAAAGAAACGTGATCTTTACGTATGGTTTGCTAATATATCTGCTGGTCCAAGTGCAAAATTTCTCGTAGAAAACAGTAAATATTTTTATCAAACAGATTAAGAAAGTATTGAAATTACTTATTTAAGAAAGTATTGAAATGAAAGTATGATAATGATTGTATTGATTTGTTTTATCTGCAGTTTATACAATGGGAGAGCTGAAAATGACAGGAAATTGTTTGAAAGGATCCCGACCATTACTATCATTTGACGAAACTTTTACTACACAGGTGCATTATAACCTCTTGAAGGAACTATTGACACAGATCTTTGGTGTGCCGAATCATCATCCTAAAAGTCAGCCATTTTTTGATCATGTATATACATTCAGTATTCTGGACAATAGAATATGGTTCCGAAATTATCAGATTTTAACAGAGGACGGTGCATTAGCCGAAATTGGTCCAAGATTTGTCCTAAATCCAGTTAAAATATTTGATGGAAGTTTTGGTGGAAATACATTATGGGATAATACTCATTATATCTCTCCTGCGAAGGTAATACAACAATTTATAATCATTTTTAACATCCATAAAATATTCTTATAATTTTTATATGAAAAAAATAATATTCGTGTAATTTAAAAAAATTTCAGTATCGACAAGCATTGACAAAGAAGGCTGCTAATAAATACATAAACCGAGTGGAACAGAAAATGGTGCGACAGGCAACTAAACCTGAATCATCTTATATGCTTAATCCCATTGATGAGATATTTAAAGGCGATTTAATGGAGAAAGCAATGGAAATAGAAAATAAGTCTGAAATATTGGACAATAGGGAAAATGTGGAAAAATCTGTGAAAAGTAAAGTGAAAAAAATAAGAAAACCCGTGATAACTAAAAAAGTTAAGAAATTAAAATCTGTCAAAAAATCTGTAAAATCAAAAGCTTTGAAAAAGAAGAAGGCGAAATAAATGTTATTATTTTGTAATAAAATATATGCATAATAAAGAAAAAATATATATGCAAAATTATTTAATATCTATAATTAAATATCTTCGATATTTGATTACTGAATTTTAAAATAATAAATACAATGAAAATCTTGTTTTCATCTAATTTTATATGAGATTTTATAAGATACACGTGTTTAATATTAATAATTATGAAACAATCGATAAAATCTCTTAAGGGAGAAACAATTTTATAAGTTTTATAAAAGTCTTATTAGAATTCGGTATAGAAGAATGATAAAATATTTTTTTATTTTATTCATATAATATATAATTTCATGAAGATTAACTGAACAATATTGTATTATTGTATTATTCATGTATACATATATAATATACATATATATTATTAAGTAAATATATATAACAAACTTTGAATTGCCTTTTCTTAAAAAAATATTGCTCACAGATTTTTCGAACTTAATTATTAAGCAATTCAAAGTTTTTCATCAATAAAAATTCTTAAGTCACAAACATGTATTTTATACATAAATCAAGAAAAATAAAATTTTTCAGTATTAATATAGCTGCCTAATATTGATGATATAATATATTATAAATGTTGAATTTAAAGCACATTTGAATATTTGAATCATACTACTTTGTACTTCGTAACTAACATGCCACACTTGTTGACACAAATTTATATATTGAGCTCTAAAGAGTATTTTAAATATATCTTAAAAACTAATATATATTTAGTTTAATTTATACACCTGTTTAATATCAATTTCATTAAAATGGCTTAAAATATTTTGTACATGAAAATACGAAAGCTTCTTATGATCTAGGTGTAAAAATTTTAATTGGTTCAGTTTGTATATGAAATGTGTTTGATTGGAAAGAATAGAAACATATATAAAGCTTAAAAAATAGGCTTTCCATTTGCAATGAGTATAGAAACTTTTTCATATTATAAATTATCCATATTTTGCACATAGAAATTTGTTTAACTACACATAATTGCACTTTGCTGCATCATAATGTATATTCTTTTATAAGCAATAATTGTATTTTATAACAGCAACACTTGATTTTTCTATGTACTCAAATCTAAAGATATATTAATACTTGTATCTCCTTATTACATAACAAAAATATCCTTAAACACGGTTGAGTTCTCGGTTTGTGCAATGGCACAACTTTGATATAAAAAATATAAATCTAATCTATGCTTTATCCGTCAATTAGATAATATTGAGTAAAACATCTATTCCGTGAAAAATTCTTATAAAACAAAATAGTTTAATCTATTTTTTAATGTGATTCTAGCAAATATTACAAAATATTTTTCAAACTCTGGCAGTTAAATTAAGAATTGGCGTGAAATAGCAGATTTCAAAATGAGCAATTAATTGACGATTCATCGTTATCATTTTACAAGCGCAATTCGTTTTTCTGTTTCATCAAATTACAAATTGTTTGCAATCAGCAGATTTTTATATATCAATCAAGTTTATCTAAAGATATGCTTGAAATGAAAAATATAACAATGATTCAATAAAATCTGGAAATAATTTATCACAAAAAAGAAGACCAGTAGTTTAAGAAATGAGCGTTCATATTTAAACATCGAACTAAAATAAAAAGAATAAATTGATATTAATCATAATTTGATTATGAAGTTACATAATCAGTCTAAAATATTAGATATACAGACCTCGTTTTTGTGAGCATATTGTGAGCATTAGATATACATACAGTATGTTCGACTTTCTGTGACAACCATTAATGACAAATTTCTGTGATCATTTTGAATAAACTTTATAATATCAAAATATCGAGATAAATTTTTAAATTAAAAATGTTCAAGGTTGACCGTAATTTGATTATTTAAAATTCATGGTACATTCAGGTACATTACACAGCTATCATATGAAAATAAATAGTTTCATATCTTTATAACTGTGTTCAAAACATTTTTAATTTAAAAATTATTATAATTTATTATTTATTATAATATATTAATCTAGAACTATCATATTTTGACATTTTCATATACAAATTTTTGTTTTAAAATGAGGGATTTTTTTTAAGTATAAAATCCTCAAGATTTTAATGATTGTCATGGGAAATCCAGATATTGTTATTCACACATATATTGTCATAAATTAAAAATGTGTTATGAACGATCATATCTTGACATGATTTGTATCTCTAATCATTATAAGAATAATTCTCAAGATAAATATCTATAAAGTTATTCGTATAGCAATGCAAATATCATATGCGTGAACATAGAAAGGAATGTATTCTTATTAGTTCTATTAGATATATAAGTGATAAAATGCGAAAGTATTCCATCATGTAAAAAAGATGTGTACAAAAGATGTGTATAAAAAAAACATCTAAAGTAACAAATACTTATTCGTTCATTGGTGTCATTTCGTGAGATTGTTGTCCGTTTGCATTGCTGCTAGAGGTTCCGATTTGTGCTAATGCAGATTGACGCCACTTTCCATTTTCACCGTTTAAATTCTTATCTTCGCATATACATAAGAATAGCGTGTCGATAACGGTCTAAAATAATCAATTTATTATAAAAGATCTTATTTAATAAATCCTTCATATAAAATGTATTAATAAATATATGCATATGCGTGCATTTGGCTCACCTCATAAAGGGAAATTATACAATGAGCAATGAAGAATGAAAAAACACAAACAATAAGAACTGGAATAGCATAGAAATGTAGCTCAGGATTTTCTCTCATAAAAAGCAATCCGACGCTGCCGGTCGCGGCTGTAACAAAACACTTTCCCAGGAATAATATAAAGTCGCCAAATCCATTGATCACTGCTATTTGAAGAGCATTACTAACGAGCGTTGTAAAAGCCTGAAAGAAAATATAATTTATGAATATCTTTTTATATTAATCAAGATATATATTTATTTTATTATTAAGTATATTTATTATTTTTTCTGCTTCTTATAGATATTATAAAATTATTTTATAATTAGACTAGTTACTAGAACGTACTATCCTGGCTGCATTGCAAAAGTGAGTACCCTCTATAGCAACAACAGTATATGCATTATGATTCATATATCGAATGAATTTTTCCAAACAGTAGAAACAGCAAATGCAACATTTTAAACCACACTGAGCACATGGAGATGTTTCCTTAGTCTTTTCAAATCTGGAAAATAAAAACAAATAAATTAATAAATGCAAACGAAACAAACAAATAAATGCAAAATTAAAAATTAAAAAATTTTTGAAAGGAAATGAAAATCTTTACGAGTTTTTTCTTTGCAGAGAAACTTACTTAGCATGAAGGTATGTTAAAATCAATCTAGGTAATTTAAAAATGGTTATCAAGAGTGATCCACATGCTACAGAGCCCATATGATAGCAGACTAAGTGTCCTATAGATGAACATACTGGAAACGAGCTGGCGTTCTTACCTCTAATAAAAATAATTTATTATTATTAAAGCATATCTAATGTGATTTTATGTCGATATATTATAAAAATTATTACCTAAAGTACCAGTGAGCAACAGAACCTGATATTACCATAACTTGACATCCAACAATAAATTCCGACGTCCATATCAGTCCTATAAGATACACCCACCACATATATTTCACCCAAGTTGCATCAACGTATTCCACAAGAGTAAAAGCTGAAACGTTTAATAATTCTTATTTAATTTTATTTATTCATTGTGAGATATGTAAAACGATGTGTAAAACGATATATTACTTTTAAAAGACTCTATAGAAAAATCTATCTTTTTCTCCTCGACTAATGGAGCGTTTTCACCAATTGAGCTCAAATTTACAGAATCAAATATAGTGTTCTTATACATTTGCACTGATTTCGTCTCGGGATAATCTATAACAAAGCGAAAAAATTATTTTTTATCATAAAATAAATTTGTTTCTTTATTAAATGCTGCAAAATACTCACTAGCTGTTGCAAGACAAAGAATCACAAATACCCAAAAGGCAAAGAACAGCATCAAAGCTATAAATGTTAAGATCGGTTGAAAAAATAAGCCAGGTAATTCTCTCAAGCATTTTGCACTTTCTTTGAATAGTGCCGCCATAAAACTGATGCGTTTACGTAATATGCATGAAAGAAACAATAAAATAATCTGTAAAATAAAAAAAAAAGATTAGTCAATATAAATTCTATATAATATGTCTTATAATAAAGTATTAAATGTATATTTTTTTCTATTACAAAATAATGCTTACAGTGATGATAGTAGCAATAATAGAAAATGCGAGAAATGCTCTTTCATTTCTGACAGCTTCTTCGAGAAGTTGATTTGGATCAGTTTTGTCCAAGGTTTTTTTAATATCAACATATGTCATCCATAAAAGAATTGTACCAACTATAACATAATGCTATTAATGCATTTTTCTTAATAGCTAATAAAATTTGCTATTTTTAATATCATATGCAAATTTTAGCTTGATTTATTATATACTAAATTATAATTTTTTATACTAAAAAAAGTCTTAAAAAGTTGTATTTTTGTAAATATATATAATGTAAATAATAGTAAAAAATATAAATTTTATAATTTAGACTTTAAATTTAAGTACTTTAATTTTTTAATTAATTAAATTTTAAAGTTTACTAAGTACTTGTTGTATTATAAAAGTAATAGAACAATAATAATTTATAAGCATCTATACATATTACTCAAAGACTAGAGAATAAGTAAATAGTTAAAAAAAAAAAAAAAATACAATAATGTTATATTATAGTCAAGGCTATGCCAAGTACATTTCTATATAAAATCTTATATGTGTGACCTAATTTCTAAAAAATTTTAAAACAAATAAAACTAATTTATTCTATTCTTGTTATTGTAAATATTATTTATAGATATTTATATCATTAATTTGATATAATTATTAATTATATATTGCTTAGTTTACGACATATGTATTTATAAAAAGTCAAGTATACAAATACTTGGCTTTTTATAAATACATATGTTGAAAATTAAACAATACATAATTAATTAATGCGAAATGTAATTTACCTGTACTAGCAATGCTTACAAGGACGATTATAATCCATGTAACAATATTTGCCAATAAATGAAAGATGGCTATTGTAAAGAGCGACAAAACTGAAAGAAAAGAAAAAAATAAGTATAAGTATATAATTTATATATGTACATTGTCAGTAATGCGCTGGATTCTTACCACAGGCGAGAAAAGACAGCGTCAGAATTTGTCTCCAGGTTTTACACAGGTCGCCCAAAACCTGTTCGATAACATCCCACGAGTTGATTAAACCATATAAATTTGAGATTATCACTTCGCTGACTTCCTTTATCGCCTTAGGAATACATCGATTTAGGACAGGTGTGCTGGGATAAACCGGTCGCTCAGGGCACGATCCGTTTTTAAATTTGCTGCTCTCGCTGTTACACGCGCTGAAATCACCACCCGGTCTATCATGGCACAATTGCGATCCCGTCTCCTTGTAAAAGGTACAGATATCCTTCATTGTTCGCAACATTCTATCGGGACATTGCTTTACACAAATCTTCAACGACTGCGTAACGTTATATATATCCAGAAAGAATAAGTATCTAAAAATATAACATAACATTATTTCTTAAAAGTTAAAATTTACTTTTATGGATAATTTAGTTTTATTTTTCTTTATCTTTAGGCATAAATTAAGAAGGAAATGTATGAGACTAACGGCTTGTCACTGGTGTCCTGTCCAGAAAGCTCCATACTGCCGAACTTCGGATTATTCTTCACACCGCATGTGTTCCCAAAACTATCGTATCCATTTATAAGTCTTAGGGGATTACCATAGACTATCGCAAAAGCAGCGACTAAAATCTAGAAATAAATTATCATGTCAAATTGTGAACTCCAATATTTATTTTTAATAAAGATTTAATTTACTTGTAGAATTGGAAAAAGATAAAAATAAATTAAGACTAAAGTTAATCGATATTGGTAGACATAAGAGATTTCTTATTTAAAGACATAAATGAAAAAATTGCTACTTAAGCTTACTATATTTTGTACATCTCATCAAAAGTCATGTCTCGAGTTAGTTCCTGATCTTAATAACAATAATATTCAATAAGCAAAATTAACAGTAGTTTATCATTAAATTCACAGTGAATTAAACTCAGAACTCGCTAAGCATAATATGACAAATCTACAACAGGAACCGAGCAGAATCTGTCAAATGTAGATTCTGATCTCTTTATCATCAAAACTATATAGCTTGATTTCTGTCATCATACTTCGTTAACAAATCTTTATCATATTTCTGTCAGTAGCGTCGCATATGTATTCAACATCAGATGTTTGGCTTTTCCGTCAAAAGAATTTGTAGCAGAAGCTTTGCAGATTATCGATGGATTCGACTGGATTTGAGTCTTTGAAATACCAATCCGGAGTACCGGGCACGACAGGTGCATCTCTTTTTCGTAAACAAAAAAAAAAGAAACGTGGCGTCAGGTATACGTAACAACAACCGTGTACCATGAGAAACCAAAATGCTATGAAGAGGCAGAGCCAAATGACGTCCGTGCATCCTCGCACCCGCATCGGCTCGGCACCCTCGTCATTCTTGCTCCCGGTGCAGCAGGACATCTTCTCCACCGCACCACTGTAATCACCACGCCGACACGCTAAAGGCACTTGTTCCTGAGTCGTTATTGTTGTCGCCGCGCGTCCCTTTCGATTCACAGAGTTGACACGGAGTATAACACTCAGTGCTGTAGCTATAGAGGGTGACTCAGTCAAAGTAATCCTATCAGGAAAATAAATATTATAATTGTATCGTGTCTGCACGCAGCTGTAATATATTGATTCCATTCCTTGCTGTTTAATCATCTATTTTGATTGAATTCTAATTAATTTAATTTAGCAAATTTTTGGATGACTGACCGAATTCAATAAGAAATTGCTCACAGCAAAATTTCTGATCAGATATAAAATTGCCTTCCGTCTAATTTAATCCTTTTTTCTCCACGAGTCGAACGATAAAGAATTGATAATTTTAAAATATTGTTGAGTTGTTACTTGTCGAGTTAATCACTAATTAAATTAATTAAAGCTCGATTGAAAGTGAATTCTTAATTAATTCAAACAATGTTATGAGTGTTATTATTTCTGCGTATTTATTTATTTAAATAATTTTGAATTCTGTGGATTATGATCTTTTTGCAAGAGTTAAAATCGCTATGGACGATCCTGAGAATCCGCGTTCCGGCGTAGTATCGTTTCCACGGTAACGAATGCCTACGTCATATGGCATTCGTTACGATAAGCTCTTCAATGAAAGCTTACTGTCTCAATGTTGATTGACGGGTTTTTATTCTCGCGCATGCGTGATGCAACAACGACAAGTGCAGTGATATGAGTGCGTTACAGCCGAGTTTCGTAGAAAGATAGTTAAGAAAATTAAATAGTTTAATGTAAGCTAAATAGATTAATAATTTGATCGATAATAATACAATGGATTTAAATATCAATAAAAAGACCATTAAAAAATAAAAAATATTTAAAAATTTGCGGATAAAAATATTTTTAACTATTTTATATTATTTAAAGTAAAGATTTTCCGTATATATAATTATATATAAAATATATTTATAATTATATGTAAAAATATTATACATGAATATATTTCATATATGATACCTTATATGTAATTATATACAATCACATCTAATTAAATGGAAAATTTTTTACCGACTCAGAACTTGACTTCTTATTCCGAAACAATATATATACAAATGGTTCATACTGTTTATAATAAAAATATTATATTATATATATTACAAAACAAAATTTCACTTTACTCCATCGTTTTTATTTGTTTTAAAAAATTCAAATTCTATATAATTGCAATAAATATCGACAGGGGCCTTGCAGAATATCTCCTTATATCCGAATTGAGTCCTCAGTGATATCATGTCTACGCATGTGCAAGGAATGTGACCCCGTCTATCAACACTGATCGCGCCGTTCAGTTCCACAGATTGCCGACGGCATGTTGTGAAAACATTGTTAATTGTCACCTTTAAACAAAACAAACTTACCCGTTTAATCGTCAGACTCCATTTGTGAGTATTGCCATTTACAAACAGAGTTTCGCCCTTCCTCCGATCGTCGCCTTTACGCCCGAGAAGTGCCGGGGTATACCGCTTGGAACGTAACCTATTTGAAACGTTTTGTTTGAAACACGATTGACGATCACGAGTGCCAGGAGTTCAATTTCCCTCCGAGAAGAAGTTTGATCGGCGAAAATGAAAATTCTCTCTGACTCAGATGTCGAAGATTTCGAATGTACCTTCAATCTTTTAATTTCCAAATTTTGTTCCCTTAGTCTCTAATTATCGTCATGAGTTCGCCGTTATTTTGAGGAAAAATTATTTTTATTTATTTATTAATTAACGGCAAATAATGCACAAATAGATTGTTATAATTTTTTTTAACGAATTCTCGAGACTTGTAGAAGAAATCTAATGAAATTTATAAAAAAAAAGTAGTGAATATTACAAGACCTGTAGTGAATGGATTAGAAAGAAATCAAGTATATATATTGATTTTAGTGATGGAGGAGAATGGAAATAAAAGGATGAGGGGCAGAACTCGTGGCCGAGCCCGTGGACGTGCTCGGGGCCGGGCCAGAGGAAGAACCAAGAAGCAAGTAAAGGTAAAAGCCTAACCTTGATCCACAAAATGTTGCATTTGATAGTCAAATTCTAGATTTGAAAAATATTGCACAAATGTTCTGCGACTAGCTTGGTAATACCATTTATTATTATTTATTAAAATTAATATTATATTTATATTGGAATGCTTTGACCAATTTGTAATGTATATACAATAAAATTATTAATTATTATTATTATTCATATAAATATGAATATTATAGATATATCATTATAGATACATCATATAGATACATCATATAGATACATCAATACTCATATGAAATAATAATAAACAATAACGAATTGAATAAATAATAAATCAATCGCAGATCATTTGTATATTGTAACTACTATTTGATTTGTCCATTATAAGATTGACAGTTTATTATTTCAAAAAATCCAGATATCCATTTGTTATTATTATTTTGTAAGCATTAATCCATTCTGACAGACAACATTTTGAAATGATTTATGATGAATAAGGATGAAAAGGATTTATGTTGTTAAACTAATCTGATGTGGAATATTCTGAAATTTTATAGGTTATTGAAAGCGATGAAGAAGATACTCCACAGCAAACTGAGGATAATATTGCGGAAACAGTTAGTGGCGAACAGGATGAGCATGAACCTCCCGTAGCTCAGCAACCTTCTCTCGAACAACAGTTTGACTTGGAAGCTGATATATCTCAACTGGAAGCACCAACTTTCACGACCATTAACCGGGGTCCACCTGAGCCAATGCTGCGTTTAAGATGGGACCATCGAGTGAATCTTATAGGAGAGAAAGTACTAAATCCTATGATACATTGCTGTGACAAATGTTTGAAGCCTATTCTCATTTATGGTCGTATGGTATGTTTCATAAAAATCATTATAAAAGAACAAAAAATTTTATTCATTATGAAATAATGGATTTCTGATAATTTTCTTCCTTTTTCTTCTTCTATATTTGTTTTCAAAATCTCTGATCTTCAACATCTTGTACAATTGGGGCATACATGCATGGGGAAGGAGGGAAAATCAGAATTAATCTCGTCAGAATCCATTAAAATTACAAGTTGATTAATGTTACATGAGCTATTATTTTCAATCTAAAAAGAAATTTATATTCTTTTTTACATTATTTTAATCCCTAATTACTACTTCTAATCTATTTATGTTTAATATACTTTTTCAGATACCGTGCAAACATGTATTTTGTCTATCTTGCGCTAAGAGAGAAGACAAAGTCTGTCCTCGTTGCATGGAAAAGGTATCCAGAGTAGAGCAAACTGGCCTTGGTACTGTATTCATGTGTACTCATGGCGGAACGAGATACGGAAATGCTGGATGCAGAAGAACATATCTTAGCCAACGTGATCTGCAGGTAAGTCAATGTCAATGAGATAACGATTAGAAACATAATAATGTTACAATCTAATGCACTTTATTATTTTTCGTATAGGCTCATATTAATCATCGGCATATATCGGCGCCGCCTCAACCAGTCCAGGGGATGCAAGTCGATCCTCCGCAATATGTGCATGCCAAATCAGAGATGGAGTCACAGTTAACAAAAGTGTCCTCCGTGCCGATGCAAAACACACGACTCAAGTCCGTGCAATCTCACATGGTTCAGCCAATCATGGGTAACGATCCTCGCGTAAATTCATTGGTGAATCAACAACCAACGTTGGAACAACATCGACATCAGCACAGACAACAACAGCAGCAGCAACAGCAGCAACAGGCGATGATGTCGATGCAGAGTTACGCGCAGAGCGCTGCACCACCACCGCCTCCTCCGAATAACGCCCCAATGCGGACCAATCTTATTACTGTACCGATCCAGGATACAGCATCCCTAACCACGCATGATCTTCACGCGCAACAAAGTCATCATTATTATTCGGCGCCTCCACCACCACCTCCACCGCCACCACCGGCAGTTAATTATGGTGGTTATAATGTACCACCGCCGGTGTCACAATCAACGCAACAATATTATCCACAACCACAACATCCCACTCAGGTGTCTTATGTGCCACCACCACCGCCACCACAACAGCAACAATACGTGTCATCGGCACCGACTTCCATACGACCATCGCCTACTGGTTATATGCAGGAACCTCAATACGGGCCGCCACCATCTCAGCAACAACCGCCACCGCCACCGCAGCCGCAATGGTCACAGCACCAACAGCAGTTTTATAGATAAAGAAGATACAGTGTTGAATAGCTTAGTGGTAAAACAGTTGGGCGAAAGTCACGGGTTCGATTCCCGATTTTGTTATTTGACATATATACGTTTTTAAGTTATATATATTTTGAAGAACTATCCTACTAAGAAATAAGACATAAATTCGAAAAATAAGATTACTTAGTATGAATCGGTTAATTCTGTGCTCTTTTAAAAAAAATTTGATAATAAAGAAAGAAGAAAAAAATGTTATATTAATTGTCGTAAATTACTTAACTGGGGTTTTCTTTAACTTACAAGACCTCTATGATAAAAAAATTTGAAAATTAAAATATTTATATATGATTTCCCAATGTATTTATAATGTGCAATGATTCATATAGCAGTGACGTGAATATTGAATTATAGAAGTGATGTAACATATATCGTGCGCATATATGTATATGTATAAATAATATTAGTAATTTTTTTGTATTTTAATATTCAATATTCATTTTTATTCGAAACATTCCATGTTATAAATATATTAAAAAATGTCTCTTACCATACATTGTGTGTTATTTAAGCTTAAAACTATAATCACTTTATTTATGAATATAAAATTTCAAGAATATATATTATATATATTATATATAAATATATATATTTATAATTCTTTGATATCGAATACAGTCTACAATATAATTATAATTTTAAATATTAAACATTTATGATACGTCTTTTATATTATTTTATATATATTATACATAATTATTGATGTATTTGCGCTCTGTCTGGTAAGAAACATTATTTTAATTTTGCAATAAAATTTATTAATTGTTTTATCGGTTCCTTGATATTTAGTAATAAATTCAAACTGCATTGATATTTATTTTTTATTAACTATTGCTGGCGTTCCGTTATAAAAATAAATATCAAATTAAAATACGTACGTTTTAGAAAGTCTTATGAAGATTAGAAAGAACTTATATTTATATATTTGTGATATATACAAGTTAATAGTGAAATATTTCTTAACAAAAAATTTATGAATTATTTTTTTCAAATGAAATTGAATATCTAATCTTTGGAATATATTTACAAATAATTAAAAATTTCTCAAACATCTATGATTTTTTTTCTTTTTAACTATATCGACTGTAAAACACATTTGGCAATAAAGGCAACGGGATGTTTTGTTGGTGTTAGAATTTAATATTGTACAGATTGTAACGATTGTAACTTATGTACAAAACTAATGATATATATAACATGTACATATACATGTAATAATAATTATTACATTAGATTCTTAAAACATGCTTCCTACGAATTCAACAAATATTCATATCCATTTATACTCAACTAATCTTGGCCTTCCATATTTTTTCAATAAATATTAACTGACTAAATATACATAATAAAAGTTAATTTAAAAAATTCGTCAATAACGTCGCGATGAATAGAGGGCCAAAATTGTTCAGAACACACGCAACTATGTACTTCCAGAATTTTATCACGCCATACATAAAAATAGCTCTTCATATCATTCCATTACGTTTAACGAAATGATTATATGTAACACGATATTGTTATATATAATCACTTTTTAATATCTTGTTCCCCTTACGTTTTACATCAATCTTTATCATATTTACAAAGTCATCTGCATAATCGTGTAATTTTATATACAGTATATTTCACATTATTTGTTATAATAATTAATTATCCAAACTTCCCCATTTATTCCCGTTTATGTATGTACGAATGTATCTATGAGTGAATGTAAGATGTTATATTTTGTAACATTAAATACACATTTACATAAAATAAGTAATCTTATACAAAATAAAATTATATTATCGAAACCAAAATTTTTGTATGTTCTCATATAACACCAGTTGAAAACTTAAAAAGAAGAGAACAAATAGAGCTGACAATAATAAGCAAATAATATATAATAAGCAAATATTACGTTATGCCATGTTGATTATAATAATCTAGAATATTTTTGAAAAAAAGATGTGGTGTGTGTGTGTGTGTATATATATATATATATGTTTAAATTGAAATGAACAAAACTTTCTTTATCTTCAGAACTAGCTGATTTCAACATATAAAAGTCAATATCAAGATCTTTTCTACATACAAAATGTATTTCAACGAAAGATTAGAAATTCGTCCATTTTTTTCAATTATATTCCTTAATAGAATTATGTCCTTGAGTGTATTGCACTGAAAGCATCTAATTATTATGTCATGAAATCATCGGACTTTCTGATGAAACAGTGCGCTGTAATCGTATGGCACTATTTTTTCATAGAAATATTAAAATTCCCACATATTCCCATTGTATCACTGATTCTTACATAATTTTTAGTATAACAAAGAATTGTTTTGTTTTTTGGAAAATAACATTGTAAGATAAAGATTAATTTTATTTTTCCCATACACTATTAAAAATCTGAAGATCATACTTTTTTAAACCGGCATTAATATGGCACAATAATCAATAAGGAGTATCACGTAAAATCCCATAATTTATTATATATATTTTAATCATTAAAATGCGGAGAAATAAATGCGATATAAAAATAGAATTTAAAAAAATATGAAATAGATTTTTTCGTTCATTAAATAATTTGATCTCCTTTATGGCAGTATATTTTCTTTGTAACAGAAAATCTTCGCATTAATTAATTTATTCTTTGTGAAGTTAACATAACTCTTTCTGCGTGAAAAAATTAAAACTTGCTAATCACATTTACATAAAGTTGGCAATTTCATACATAATGACATTGAAGTTTTTTTTAAAAAGAAAATTTTCTTTATAAGTCTCTGAGTTATTTAAGTTAGTTATTTAAGTTAGTTGTAGAATTTTTCTACGATTCTATTCGTGCAATATAAATGTTATAAGAATAAATAAAATATGTTTTGTTAACGAATGAATATTATAAATATTCTTATGAATAATAGGATTAATTATATGTATGTTACTAATTTACATGAAATTTAATCATACTCACTCTGTGAAAATAACTTATAGTGGTAATTATAATAAACACGTTCTATCTATATTCACACGATTAAAAAAAATAGGATTTATACTCGTTATTGAATATAGCCATATTATAAGCCTTATGTTTACCCTTTAGAAGCTTTTCAGTGTAATTTATAAACCTAGTGAAATCAGTCAGTCTCGTATAATCACGTACTGCTAGTGGGATGATTATGTATATTGACATTGACTTGTGGAATGAGTGGAGACGCGAGTGGTTTAGGCGTAGTTTCAGGTATCGGTATGGAAACCGCGGGAGGCACTGGAGAGTGTTTCTTAGCTCTGTCCGGTTGCCAAGGTTTTGTGTGATCTCTACTCAATCTCTCGCTGAGTGCTTTCAATGCTATTTGTCTGTAAACATCAATTAACAAAATGAAAATAATGACTTGCAAAATATTATTGAAATTATTATATATATTTTCATCAATCAGAAGATTCTTGCATTCATTTTCTAATTACTCACCGACGTCGTTCGCTATCGTGAGGATCAATACCAGGAAGATTAATAACCAAACCAGGCGGTGTGTTGGACATGTCAAATCTTCTCACTACTTTTCGGCAGAGTCCGATTCGCACAAAAAATCCATGTACAGTGTTGCTCACTACTGCTATTGGTGGCTGCAAGACATTTGGGAAAAAACTGCAAAAAAGCTCCAGATGAGACAATTGAATTCTCAGATATCCAGAAAATCAATGAAAATTGTAGGAATCTCACCTTGCAAATGTGAAATTATCAGCCATATCTCCTCGAGTACCATTGTTGTGTTTCTGATAAAATCTCAGGTATATCCAAGACATCAATAATCCACTGAGAAACATGGTAGGATGAGTACCTTCTAACAACCCAACTAGCCATAATATTAATCCCACAATCCATACCATTAATGGTATATTTCTATTTGTGATCTTTCCAATAGGTGTCTTAATTAAGATATGATCGGGCATTATTTGCTTCACTGCTACTGCCACTCCTGCAAAGCAAATCTATTCTTTATATCAATGTTTTTTAAAGTGAGGTTTATAGAGAATTCCTAAAATTTCCATTTCTATATTTGACTTGTAACTATTTCTACAACTTATAATTCATTATATTAAGTAATAAAATATAAGATTTGATAAGATTCATGCTTATTTATTAAATAAATTTTATTAGAAAAAAATAGAAAACAAACTCATTTAAAGCAATTAGAAAAATAATTTTTATATTTATTTCTTTGCTAATTTTTTTTAGTACAAAATCAAAATTATTATTATAAATAAAACATTAAATAATTTTATTCAACTCAAAAGCTAAAAAGTAAAGAATTGTGCATTTACACTTTATATCTTACTTGTAAACAGGATAGCATCCCAAAAAAATGTTTTTAAATATTGATTTACATGACTAAAATTATATGAAAGCATCATTTAAGAAAAGTTTTCTTACAAAAGAAACTTGTTAAACATGATTCAAAATAATATAAAAAAATTTATTTTGAAATCATAAGTTAAAATCAATGCTGTGGATAAATCATTAAAAATGCTATTCCATAACTGTGCTTACAATAATAATACATATAGAATAAATCGATAAAAATCTTTACATAATTAGTCGCAACGGGAAGATACCTGCAATATAGCCGGTCAAACCATGTATGTGTATGTTAAATAACAAGTCCGGATTACTGGTGCACATGTAGAGAAACAGGTAGAAGAGCGCTGAAAGTACGGCGACGCCGAAGTTGACGATGGCGAAGAACGTCATCATCTCGAAGGCGCCCCATAGCGGCTCGATCAGTTTGCCGCAGAGGCCGACAGTCACAACGTCCACGCACACCTCCCAGAAGTGTATCTCGAGGAAGCAGAAGGTGAAGGCCGTCCAGAACCAGAAGACCGGCGGCAGCAGGTAACCTGGCGTCACGCTCAGGATGCGCACCGCCTCTTTGGAGAAGGATAAGCAGTAAGAAAACAATACGACCACGCAGATGGATTTCACGCTGGTGCTGGTGTTGCCCAGCAGAGCTGCAGCCTGTTGCCTCAAGTAAGGGATATTCCTACCCAGGCCCTTTATCGCCGCCATTGCCACAAGCAAGCCTAACCTCTCTTTCCTCGCGCCCCCAACGAGAGGGAAAGCTGTGCCACTCAGCCACTCGAACGCAACGAGCGCCGCAGCTGCCACCTGAACTTAGCTACGAGAGATAGAATATGTAGCAAAGAGAAACCAAAGAGCGACCAACGATTCTAGTATTTTTTTTTTCCTTATTTTTTGGAGATTTTTTTCGATTGGAGGGATTAGGTGCTTTTACTTCATCTTTTGATCAGAATGATTAGAGTTTTCCTCGATAGGGATCATGGACATTGTCCGCCATTTTTAGAATAATTGTGATGCGCTTTTCAAAAAACATTTGAATCAAATAAAAGTGCACTTTATTAATTAAAAGAGGAATTTAGGGATGTTTATATCATGTCATACATCAAAAGTTTCTAAAAGTGTCGTAGATTATTCTATTGTCTCTTTTAAATATCTATCTGAGATGGTTGAAAATGATTCCCGGTAAAAATTTTCCATACATAGAGTGGAATAAAAGTCTCATTACAAATGCTTCGAAACATAGGCGAATTTTTTAATTCATCAATTAATAAATTCGCATTGTGCAAATGCAACTTTGCTCTATAAAAGCAGCATTTGCACATTGTGCGATTAATCAATCGATGAATTAAAAAACTCATCTCATTTTTAACATTAAATTACATCTATAATTATACATAAGGTATCATATATAAAATAGGTGCGTGGAAAATATTATAAATTATATTAAAAATTGTATATAAAATGATGGTACAATTATGACATAATTATGTGATTATATATAAATATTATTGTATAATTATATATAATCATATGTAATTATAAATCATTAAATAAATAGAATGTTGACAATTTATCGACGATTTTAATATATCTAGATAAAGACACATTTTTATCGTCGTTCAGCAGTCTCTTCAGCGTTTTCTTAACTTTACGTATAACTTAGCTTATTTATTATTTAATTTTTTAATAATTTCATATCATAGAAATAAATGTAACATTTTCAGTTACATATGTATATTATCATAGTCTAATTTTTACAAGTCTGTGACCGCTTGTAGGTAAATACTATAAGATATTCAACATCAGCTGTATCGTGGCGACTCATGGCGGGGAATTTTCCATTTTGCAAAAATTATCACGCTTATCGTTATCCCATCGTTAATTTCATGTTGTTACCCGCGGATTTATCGAATTATGTCGTAATTTACCGCCATCTTAAAATTGATCCTCGCACAAACAGTTCAAATTCGTGAGTTGCTATCAGATCGCAATTATTACTATCTTCGAGATATACAAAGTTCTATCATTTTGAAAAGAAAACGATCATTGCAAGCAATAGATTTCACGCAAGCGGTATCGACAAATGACAGGTAGAACTGCGATAATTATTAACAATTTATATTGGTATTTATGAAAAATGAATTAATTTAACTAATTTACTGCATAATCTGTAAACATTCAATTTTATGTAATAAGTTATCAGTTTTTTTTTTATATCAAATGATTGACGTGAATGAATATGTGAATATTTTATATATAAGATAATTTTATATACAAAAACCTAACCTATAGAATCTATAGATCAGATAACAATCTGATGATATTTATCGTCAAAATAGCTTGTTATCTGAATGTTTAATATGCAAAGGCCAGAATTTAAAATAAATTATATGAAAAATTTCATAATTTATACACATATATATATGCGCAGTTTATATAAATAATTAATAACAAATTCTAATGTTTTCAATTCTGTAATTGTCTAATTATGTAATTATCTAATTGGCAGCTTTTCATATGTTCAAAATGTTAAATTAAAAACTCATGCAAGCCAAATTAAAATCCTTGAAAATATAAGAGAATCAATTTTATCCTCAAATTAAATCTCAAATTAAAAAGCGAGATATCAATTATATATTACTTGAAAAAAATTTTTAAATAGAAAAAAGAATAAATATAATTTTAAATTATTTTCTAGATAAATTAATTAATAACTTAAAATGTAAAATATGTTTTCTATGTCGTTTCATTATCGAGGCAGAAGCTATGCCAGCCTTAGATCAGTCCAGAATTATATCCAGCTTCTGGTAACAACGTGACCAATTGCGAGACGAGCGACGTGAGTAATCTGGTATTTCGATACAATAGAAAGAAAAACACCAAGAAAATTCGAAGTAAATTTGACTAAAAGATTTCTCTGGACCAGAACAGCAATGAGGACAATTTATAGAATGACATATGATTAAAGCACGAAATTCATCAAAGGAATGAGCAGCCCTCGAAATCAATTGAGGTAAAAAGTTAAGTGTAGAATAATTTCGCGCTTAATTGCCGAAAAGTAATATTTGGATTTACTGAATATACATTGGATTTGAATGATTGAATGATTCATTAAACGAAACTAAACTAACTTTGCAACGATTGAATGAAGATCGCAAATGGTGGGATATTCTGCAGCACCAAAGATAAAGTTTTTAACAAGAGTGGGATGCTTTCTGTATTTTAATTCACGTAAATTATAATTCATTGAATACAATTATAAAAAGGAAATTGAAAAGGGAAAAAGATAGAAAACGTATCAAAGATATTCTCGTTATTGAATTTTTTTTTCATGTATTAACTCTTTCGATGCTGCTTCATTTATATATCGTTGCGAGAGAATAATTTTAATCGATCGCGCCTGATTGTCATTCGCACCTGTGCGTAGTATTTATATACGTAACTGCTCGCATCACAATCGCGGTGGGCGGCCAAATGAGATAGAATTGAGGATTGTGAGCACAGATATTTCTAGTACCACGGGCGAGGATCGGATGAGGGTGATCGTATCCGCCTGCGAATCCTCTTCCTCTTGTTGCGAGTCTAAGACCGCCGCCGCCGACGTCCCGGACATCGCATCTACGTCTAGACGGAAGTGCCCGTGTCCGTCGCGGCCGTTAACTGCGAATCGCTGCGGATCTTTTCGCAGACGGGTGTCCTTCAGCGACGCCGCCGTCGTCGGGACCGCCACCGATGATTACTGTCGTCGCCCGGCGATCATGCAGGATGACGATCTAACGAGCATGTGTCGCGATAATGATGAGACCGAGAATAAGGTAGAGCGAGAGGCGTTCTATGATATTTGGAAGGCGGACGACTCGTCGACCGGCAGGAGCGATGACGGATACTCGGAGAACATGCCGAGGATCGATAATCACGCGGAGAATTGTTGCGTATCGGGTTCCACTTTCAATAACAAAGGTCGGTATTCGCAGTCGGAAAATATCTGCGAGCGGACTGTCGTAAACGATGGACGCACGCGAGAAGAGTGGGTCGACAATGGTGACGTCTGTCTGGCGGATCGCATTGCCGGAAGTAAGGCAAGAAATAATGAAGACGATACCGCGTGGAACGAGAACCTATCAAATCTCACACACGAGGATGTAGACTCGATCGGTCGCGATGAACATCGAATGCGAGGCGGTTGCAGCGGATGCTGCTGTGGAACACGCGAGAAGTGGGTTTATTGTCGTTTTACATTGAAATTTCACTTGTTCATTTTTCACAATTTTTTATAATCTCTGTTTTCCGCGAGAATAATTTCGCCAAGAAACATTTATAATAAATTAAATTGCGAGTACACAGAAAATACTCTTTTGCTGAAATCAAAATTTGACCAGATCTAAAATTAATTTTGTTAGAAGCTATTAAAATTAATTATGTAGGATTTTAGAAGATTAAAAATTTTTGCAGAAATTATTATCATGTTTACACATCCTACACAATAATTTTAATAACAATATTATTTTCAAATCTGTATCTGGACAAATTTTTAATTACTTCAGCGAAAGTTTCCATTTTTTCTGTGTAACATTAAAAAAATTTGAAATGTCTATACACACATATCTTTAATTGTATTTGCTTTGAAAACGTTAAAACAAAATGAATGTTATTATAAATATTTATCTTAAGCAAATTGTCATGTACTGACTAACGACATAACATTTCCATGATGCAGCCTCCGAAGGAGTTCGCAGGATTACGGTTGCTGCTGCGGAAGACTCATGCCGGAGCCGAATGAATCATGCGCATCTACTCCGGACAGAGTCAAGACAGTGTGCGCTGTACCGTCGCATTTCTGTTGTCGTTGTCCTCGAGTCTGCAGAAAGGCGACAAGATGCGAGCCGCCTCCGTGCGTGACGAGTGTCCGAAGTTACGGCGGCTGCGGGAAAGTCACTCAGATCTGCACACCATCGCCGAGGATCTGTAACTCGTCGGCTTATTCCTCGCGCAGAAAATCACCCTGCGCCCCACGTTGTCCATCACAATCTCCTTGTCCAATCGGTAGCTGTAGAGGTTGCTGTAGTGGATCCTACAACTGCGGAAGGTGCGACTGTCACACGTTTTTAAACAACACAAAATATTTTTGTCCGATTTGGAAACGACTCTTTTCTGGCCCTTTTATATTGCAACTTAATTTATTGAATGATAATAAAGGAAAAGAGAGACTAAGAAAAAGGCTAATAGTTAAGCGTCACACAGTTCAAAAGGATTTGTCATCTTTTTCTGGATGTAAACAATCAAAATCATTCTTAGTAACCCAGATGTTTACATGTCGTAGGTCGCGCAGTCCGAGATGTCTGTCTAATATCGATAGTGGATGCTGTGGCATCAATGAAAGCGGAACAAAATGCAATGCCGATGGAATCTGCTGTCGACTGAGATTGCCATGTGAGTGCCTCGGTGGCGGCCTTGATTGTCGGCGATGCGGAAGAAAGGTCTACCAGGCTGAGATGCAGGTAAATACGATGTTATTAAAGATATAGATCATTGAAATTTAAATTGTACCATTATTATTTATATTATCAAAAAATATTTGAACTAATACACATGCAAAATGTTTAAATATTATTCACATCTAACAAAAACGTGAAAGAAATATTTCTCTGTTATGAGGCAATTGCGATAGTAGAAAAAGATTTTAGAAGTAATATAAAAAATTTTTACAAATTTATTTTTTCCAAGATTGCTTCCGGAGTACCGTACCATAACATCTGCTTCAGTTGCTTCTGTTGCCGAAAGCCGTTGGAACCACTGACTTATCAAGAGAATGGTGGCGAGATCTATTGCAAACGTTAGTATTATTAAATTATAAAAAAGCTTGAAATATTTAGAAAAAATAAACTCTTCTTGAATTTTTTTATATTTTACGTATTTTTGTTTAATTCTTTTTAATTGGATAATATTATCGAGTTCAGTCAATTAAAAATTTGTGTTAACTAAGTTTTTTGATCGAATTATAGAAAAGCACAAAATTCTGAAGTTTAGGAGAGATAAATATCTTTTCTCGAGCTTTTTATGTTTCACGCTTCTATTTTCGTTTAGCACTCTTTAATTGAATAATATTATCAAGTTCAGTTGGTTAAGCTCGTGTTAACTGTAGGTTTTTTTCGATATATACAGAATGTTACGTTCGTAATTTCGGACCGCAAGGATATGGTTATGGCATGGGAGCTGGCGTGTTGCAGACTCCCTTATAAGCCCATTGATTGCCTAATATCGGTTGTATATTCATATGTGAAATACATTCAAGTATAGTTATGACGGTTCTTTATACGTTTCCGTTTCTTTATACGTATCCGTTTCTTTAATATAATTATAAAAATGTGTGTGAGAAAAGTTAATTAAAACGTTCACTTTTACGCATCATAATACTTACACGTTTTTTTCGGACATGCGCTATTTAGTAAGCGCATTTTTACCGAATAAAATCTTGTGGCCGAACACTGAGCGACGTTCTTGTTCTTGATATTCAATTCATTTATTCGACAATAAGTCGCGACAGGAAAGTAAAATCTGTATGTGCAAGAAAAGCCGGGTTGCGAATTAAGAGAGGCAAGGAGATCAGGAAGATTTGACGAAGTTGAAGGAAGAATAATGTACTTATCGAGGCTCGATAATTTATCGAGGCGTTTTGCTAGAATGAAATGACTCATTAAGGACCACATGAGAAAAAAGAGGGAAAGAGGGGATGGGAAAAGTGGAAGTTGAAAAAGATTCGCGACGCGTAGGAGAAAAGGCCGAACGAACGTTTTGGAAGAAAGATGGAAGACGGTGGGAGATGATAGAAGCACGGAGGTACGTTCGCGAGTTTGCAAAACAGAGAACGAGGCAGGAGACGAGAAGGAGGAGAAAAGAGTGAGTGGTTGGTTTATTGAGTCTCTCTCCAGCGCGCGGTGGATTTGCGCGGAGCGGAAGGCGCAGGCGGAGGGGCGTTTATATAGCTTTCAGGCGCAGAAGCTTAATCTAATTTCAAATATAAATCTGTTCTCTCTCCGTTCTCTTCTTTGTCCCACTCTCTTTCTCTCCTCGCGCTCTTTCCTTCCGTCTGCCGCGCGCCCGCCGCCGGCGTCCTTCCTATCCCGCATAGAGCGCGGCGCGCTTACATTATACCCGCCCGGCTACGAATAATGTTTTTCACTTTTCCCATTAATGTTACGAGACACAACGACTTACGTAGCGCTGTTCAACCAGCGAGCGATCACTTTGTCGCGCTACGCTTTCGATATAGGTACAATTATGGTAGCAATAACACGTTAAGTTTGAAGAAAAGTCTTGTATAAGTGTCTCCTATGCTTTTTATGTGAGCTCGCTTACGTCAGACAGAATAAACGCTGGATCTTTTTATCAGCATCTTCCGCAGAATCTATAGAACTGGGTTCTGTGCGTCAAATATCGCCGTCTATAAAATTTATGAGAGGTACGTTTGACGTGTGACCCGAATTTGCTCGAATTTTGCGTCGATCCTTCTCAAAGCAAGCCACAAATTTATTTATAGACGCCATTCTGAGAAACATTCTCGCGAAACATTCTCATTTTTTTCAGGAAAAACTAATATAAAAGAAATATTATCAATGAGGTTTTCGAAAATTACAAAAGTGAGATATTAAAAAAGCTGGTAGGAGTACGGCGCAGTAAACAATGCACGAATCTTTAAGTTAGAGAATAATTTATTCATGAAATAATAAAAAAAAATTATAATATTTTATTTTTTAATCATATTTAGATAAAATATAATGGACAGTTTTACAGTTTAACGCATTATATATGAATCTTATATCTAAATAAATGTTCTGAGTCAGAGTATAATAAAGTTTAAAATAAGTCGCTCGCTTCTCGTTGCTTTTCCATATAACTTATTCAATATCATAAGAATTCCTTCGCTTGGGCAAGCGGCATTGATCAAATTCAGTTAGCTTCGTTTACAGAGAGATACTGATAGACGATTATACTGTACCGCCAAATATTTACACTACAATTCGGAACAATACCTGATTTTTTTCGCCGCGCGTCGCCCGGGAGCCTATGCCAATTTACCAATGTAAACCGACGTATTTAAATTGGCCCCGGGCCGTGGACCGACGGGACCGGGAATTTGAAAACGCTAGTCGCAATTTTTTTTCGCCACTGCGGCGGCGGCGACGGCGGCGGTGGCGATGGTGGCGGTGGTGATGCACCACTACCCGGTGCATCGAAATCGGCAAAATATCTCTTTCGGTTTGACGACCGTCGATTCGGGCCGGATCTTTTGTGCGCCGCGTGGCGCGCTTATTTCGAACCGGTATGAAAATCAATTATTTCGTTAATTCGTGCGTTACATTGGCTGTCACGGGGCCATCACTGTGAGCGACAGCGGCCCAAGGCGCTATTTTTCAATTCCCGATGTCGCCCCCGCCTTTCGCAAACCCGTATTTCCGTCCCGTTCTGTCGTTCCCGGCGGCCTTATCTCCATATTCGCTCTCCTCCATGATTTTGAGTCCACTCTTCATGTCTCGGATAGCTGTATTTTTATTTCAATTCGACGATATTTTAAATTGATTACCCGAAACGATTTCAAGAAATTAAGGACCATTCTTGTGAAGTCGGAAGTCGGCGCAACTACGAGAACATTAAGATGGCACGTGACTCGCACGTTAATATCTGTGTTTTAAAATTAGATAAATCAATCGTAATTCGGCAAAGTGAAGTATCTACCTCATTAATTTCATTCGCAATGTTAATAAGCTTCGTAATATTAGCGATAAGCATTTGCGTGAAGAAATCATCAATAAATTGTATTTCAATAAATTGATATTAATCTCTACCGAAATAGTTTTCGATTGATAGCATCATTCTGCAGCTTGTAAAAAAATTAATAACATTTCTATTATATAGAATCTATCGCGATATCTATGATTGTTTATTAAGGAAAGAATGATTTTTTTATCCTTTTATTCTTTTCTATGATAAAATCACGCGAAACAATTTGGAATTGAGTCTACATGTATTAACACAAGCAACATTTTTAAAAAAATATATACTTTTTACAAAATTTGCCGTGTCTTTGCGTATAATCCTATCCTAAAATCTCGTTTCCCAGAATCGTTTTTTTACGCAAAGCCATTTAATATATGTTTTTACGATATATTAACGCTCGCGCATGTAAACGTTCCTTTAATTTGGTCGTTCCATATGCAAAAGTAACTTTAATTTATTGTAATGCGTCTGACTGCTCCTAATTAACGTACAGCGCGAATAAAACACGGTACAGTTGATGCGTGATATGAATTCCAGTCTCTACGTCGCGAGCGAGTGTATAATTAATTACCGGCATTTGGACATGCGCGTAACAGCAATGAAATCGCGGCGGCAACGATTCGCGAATGCGCCCACTCCGTGCACGGTTTATATCGGTTGGCGATATAAACATCGTGATTAATATCGTCTCGTTTGTCAAGGGACGACGCGCGTCGCCGTCTCTCTATGACGGAGAGAGTACCTTTTAGGGTACTCCGAACAAACGCCGGACCCCAAAACGGGGCCCCAAACACTGTCACAACATATCCACGGTAACGGGGGCATTCTTCGACGATGTGTTAAAAGCGGCGCGTTATTAATAGCGCGTTATGAATTAGCCATTTTTGTGCGGAGCGGCAGGTAGAGGCCGCCGCATCTATTCCCATGATATGTTTTCAATTGGCAGGGAAGTGGGCATGTTTTCGGGGGGCCTCATAAAATCGACACGACGCAAATATGCGCGCGACTTGGAGGAAGGAGGGAAAAGAAGCGGATATAAATTTACCGTAGGAAAAAATATATTGCGATCGTCCGCGTCGACATCCGTGCTGAATGGAATCAATATGTTTCCGTATATTGCTGCGTTTCTTATTTGATATAACGACCTAATAATGGGATGATGTTTTATCCGTGAAATTGCCTTTAAAGCAACTTGATTCTGAAAGACTAATGATCATCTTGCAGCATTTTTGCTCAAGACTATAGCTTACTTATTTTGCATCTTCCTACCTGCGAGAGAGACGTATTCGATGATATTTTTATTTTTTATCCCATCGAAGATCCAAAATGTTTTTCCAGCGCAATATATTAAAATTAATTAAACAAGTGATCGAAAATATCGTGTATAATTTAAAAATAAATGAGGTACGTATTGTATATATTTTTTAAATTATCGCTCAATGAAATAAAGCTAGAGCTGAATTATGCGAATTGGCAGATGCAATCTGTTTGCGGTTAGAAAAAGTGAATAGCTCCGGCCAGATCTCGTGGGATGGCGTACAGAGGAGGGTGGCGGTGATCTTATCCCGTGTATCTAATTGCTTGACGCGTGGATGCTACCGTAAAGAATCTCCCGCGTGCGTTTAGAATACATTGCCATCTATTCAGGAATAGTGCTGAAGGGGTAACGAATCATCTCCGAAATGACGCTTGTCGAATCGATGGTATTTAAATCGAATTAATAACGCCTGGGGAGAATCACGCCTGCCTTGGTTATTAATTTATTCAACGGATTGATTTATATATATGAGGAAGTTGCAATGAGAAATGCATCATTATTACAGTACCATTGCTCTTTAGTATGCAAAAAATAAAATGTTATTAAATAAAACAAAATTTTAAATACGTAACTCTCTTTTTTGTTAGTGCATCCAGTATAAAATTGATTGTTTAGAATTACATTATATCGGACTTTTGTGTGATTTTTAGTTTAGCAAACGTAAATGGCAAATGGATGGTAACGCTATTACGCGTTACTAATTAACGACTAATTAAACCAAAACAAATTGCGCGCATAATTTCTCGGGGAATGAGAAACACTCTCGCGTATTTTAGGATTAAATTCCAAAGCGAGGAGCTCGAGAGAGGTAGTCCGCCGATGAAAATTAGAATCAGTCGATCGTCGATATTTGCATGGGCCATCATTCGTTGACTGTTTCCAATCTTCTCGTCCATGAAACGATCGACGAGAGCAATACGGTATAATAACAAAAATGTTAATAATAATAATACGAGGCGTGCGGGACGGGGCTCTGGATGTGTGCAGCGTGCGCGCGTTTAATTTGCATGGTATAAATCGCGTTTCCGGTCGAGCACGCAACGCAAACACACGTTACCGTTTACGCCCTCGACCCACGGGATTTCTCCTCGGACCGGCGAGAGAAAGAGAATCGCGTCGCATTGTGTTGTGATCCCGCTAATTTATGATTCGATAAATAAATCAGCGCCGTTTTTGTTCCCTTCCTCCCTCCACCCCTTGGATATCTCTCCTCCCTCTCC